GTTAAAAAGGTTAAATGCCTAGATGGACGATGAAAACGCTATCCACTGTGTCCCCACAGCGGACTGGGCTCGAGGACGGTGACTTGCACGTAAATCAGTTTATAATGATCATAAACATGTGCAGTAGATGTGCTAGCCCATAAAATATGAACCAAAATTCTGAAATGCGTTTTCGGCTCAGAAAAATTACTAAACTAGGGTTGCGAAACTAAGCATCTTACAGAATAATCCCAAAATAATTCAGCAACTTCAAAATGTTGGCTTTTGAACGAACTTCATTCCGGTCGTCTGAAAAACTATACTATGTAAAAAATGACTGCTTAGTAGTACCAACTATTATCAATGATTTGAATGCCCCTATATATTCAAAGATACTTCATAAAACGCACGCACACCGAAGCGTATAATTCGGTTTTAAAAAGTTACTAATTATGAGATTTTTAAAGACCGTAAAATGCCCTTTCAGAAAACTTCGTGTCTCCGCATTTGTCAACGCTGCGTCTAAGGTATACAATATGCTTAAAATCCACTGCCAAATTTTACCAACTCCATATGTGCTCCTCTTAAGAGCATATCGAAATATGAAATTTTCCGTACCCGGAAAAGATACAACTCGCAGTTTGGAAACCCTGAATGCAGGCGTAACGGCAGATCGGGTTCAAAGTCATTCCGAAATTGGACACGTTTCTTAAAACAAAATTATACCCTCCCTTCAAGTACAAAATTTGACGGAGACGTAATTTTCTACCAAAGGAGTAGAAGAATGAGTATTGTTGTGCATGCATTTTATGAAATATAGTTAAGTTTATATGGGCATCAAAAATCATTAATAAAAATTCATAAAACTGAAGTGGTCGAAAACGTCTTTCAAAATGTCGGTTGACATTTCATGAGTTAGCGCACCTACTGTACTCCTTCACACACCTGGGTCCGGTGCCAAAGCAGAGTCCAGAAGAGCGGGGGGCATGATCGCGCGCAGGTGGCCTGAACCTGCACCTAGACGTGTCTCCACCGCCCAATAACGCGTACTGGATCGTGACCTGCTCCCCCTGACATCGTGCATTTTATCTTTTGAATTGGAAAGCAGGCATCCCAAGAAATATAATTTGAAGGCAAATAGGCACTTTGGGATAAGAAGAAAACTTTATTGAGTAAATTTTCGACGTCAGTCCCCCGTGTCATCGTCAGACTCGAGCAATGTGCAAAAAACAATTAACATTTCGAACTTCCCGAGAAATCAATATTCGTTTGGTGCTTCAGCCAATGAGCGGCCGTCTTGTGCGTCAGTCTGTATTGATTGGTTCTCGTCTCTTCCACTTTCCCTGAGATTCTTGTAAGTGGCATCTAACTCGAGCTGCCTATTGATCATGACTCATCGGAGTGCATGGATTCAAGAAACTCTCGGCGTTTATAGATGGGCAAACTCCGATGGGCAAACTACGAAAGTCTGCCCAGTATCAAGAGTGTGCATGGCCATCTGACACAGGCGGGCTTGCCTCTTAACTGCCAGTTGATGATTTTGGATGCGTGTAGAGGCAAATTTTCCCGTTTGGCCACAATATACGGCAGCACAGGCAGCGCATGGGATCTTATAGACGACTTCCTTTCTATCGAGGTAGCCAACCCTATCCTTAGAGTGTACAAGCTGAGTGCGTGAAGTAGTCTTCGGCTTGTGCGCCACTTGTATCTGGTGTTTCCTCAAGTGTCTTTCAACAAGTTCAGACACGTTCCTGATGTAAGGAAGGATTCGCCAAGTGTTTACTTTGGGCGCTTGATTGGGACTAT